TTTTTAAAGGAGTTAGGATTAGTTAGCTATTTTTTATTTAGTACTTTTGAACCTTTACTCAAAAGCAAAAGAAATATATTTTTTTCATATACTGTCTTTATCTACTTTTTAATCAAGGCTATACTAGCCTCATAAAATGGGTTGAGCAGCTTCCCCTCTTTTTATATTTTCAGCACTAATTATTTAGTCAGAATTGTTTGTGCATTGAAAGTTTAAAAAATTGCCTATAATGCCTTCTGGACCTGGGCCTTGAGGTGGGGAACGTGGCAGGAAGCACTACAGCTCAAGAGCTGCAAATTTGCCTGTACTTGATATTATCTATTTCTCACCCTAAACAAACTCTGCCAATAGCCTGATACTGCCCCCATCCACCTCGTAATGCTGGGTACATGCACAGATTTCTTTGACTTGCAATAATAATTGTAATTACTTGGACACAGCAATCTTCTCAGTTTGCAATAAGAGAAAAAAGAACTCTCAGAAGCTCTCTCCCAACATATCCCTAACAGTGACACCCTCTGTCCAGGCTACCATTTTCTTCCTACCAGGTTATCACTGCCTTCTCCCACCCCAAGGGCTTACACTAGGTTTTGTTGTAGCTTTTCAATTCTGTTCTTAGAAATCGTCAAGAGAAAACCAGTGATCTAGGCTAATTCTCCATCTTATTCTAACAGCAATAATTTATGTGAGTGATATTTACATTAATTGCAAGCTTAATATGTATCAAGCACTTTAAAATATGTTCCCTTCTATAATTCTCACAATTATAGTATCGAATAGGCATTGTTATTATCTCCGTGTTTTTAAAGATAAGAAAATGAGACTAGAATTTTAAGTAACTCACTCAAAGTAACACAGATAATAAATATCAGGACAGATAAAATCAGATCTGTCCTAAATCCAGAAACTTCTAGCATGATCAGCTTTGTCTGTGACACAGGTATAGACATAAAATATAATTGTCTTTTTTGTTCGTTTTAATTTTTTAGGCAAGGCAACCCTTGGTTGACCTCACAGATGGCAAGGACCTTGTCAGTTTACAATCCCTTATTTTTTAATTTTTTTTTTTTTACGCCTACAGCACCTGGTCTTCCTAGGTGGTCTCCCATCCAAGTACTAACCAGGCCTGACCCTGCTTAGCTTCTGAGATCAGACGGGATCAGGCTTGTTCAGGGTAGCATGGCCATAGACTAAAATATAATTGTCTTGAATCACTTGAGATAGTCTATACACAGAGATATAGACTCCAGTTTTAATAAAATTATTATCTGAAGTACTAGGTAACATCAGTATTCACCTCTAGCAGTGACACAGTACACAGGTTTTGCTATTTCCTCTTTGAGAGCCTAAAAAGATCTATTTCTGAAAGCTTTTCTGAAGATGTCCTCTCAAGCCCTCACGCAGCCCCTCAACTGAATTCCTGGGGTGTTTACCTGTGATTTAGTTTCATGTTGTCACCTAAAGGTTGACTCCTAAGAGTTGCCAGAATTGTAGGAAACAAAAGGGAGGTAGGCACCATCTACCTATATCCCCTCTGTGCCTCCAACACCAGAGATATCATACTTTCTTCTTTCTTCCTTGACCAGAGAACAGGTGTTTCTGTCAAATTCCCATTAACATTCTTCTTGTTCTATTCTCCTCCTCTGTTCAGTGTTATTCAGAGATGTCATCTGTTACACAGTCATACACCACATAACATTTCGGCCAATGACTGCATACATGATTGCAGTACATCATACAGCCTAGGGCGTAGCAGGCCATACCACTTAGGTTTCTGTAAGTGCACTTCGTGATGTTCGCACACAATGAAATTGCCTAACAATGCATTTCTCAGAATATATATCCTCATCGTTAAGTGGCACATGTTTGTATTGAGAAGGAAACTGTATAATAGGTGGTCAGTAGAAATAAAAATATGTGAAGTGCTCACATTTAGAATAAAGTATACCAATCATTGAAATATTATGAAGGGACAGATAAACAAGAGAAAAACTTAGAACTACAGCAGAAAAAGAAGGTGAGCCAAGAGCACACTGGGCCTTTGGTCACAGTTCAAGAAGCTAAACTGCATACGGAATATACCTCCCTCCCATGATAGTGACATTATAACTAGGGGTTTTGATATCCCCATCTTTTTTACTCTTCTAAATGGCCCAATTCCCTATGTTATTGTACAAAGAGGTATTTATTTTTCTTTTTAGGTATTTCTTAGAACTGTATTCCCAAATTAGAATTTCTAGATCAGAGAACATTATTGATTTTGGTTTTGAATTTTGCTTTGTAGATTTAATCTGCATGTAAAAATATATTATTCATTTTTATTATAGTGTTTTAAGTTCAATAAAGAATACTACTATCTTCTAATCACATTATATTTGGGCACCATTTATTACAGATGAAATATTGAGGGATATAGACCAGGGGTCCCCAACCCGCGGCCATGGACCTATACTAGAACTGGGCCGCATAGCAGGTGAGCGGCAAGGAAAGCTTCATCTGTGCTTGAAGCCGCTCCCCAGCGCTAGCATCACCACCTTAGTTCCACCTCAGATCATGAGGCATCTCATAGGAGCACTGGTCCCTGGTGCCTAAAAGGTTGGGGACCATTGGTACAGACTATTGGTCTGACTTAGTTGGTATGTCATGAGTCTTTCTTTTATTCTAGTCCTCTTCGTAGTCTAATACAGGAGCATGGAAATGAGTACATGAGTAAGCATTACAATTATTTCACATAATGATTTTCCTATATGCCTGAGGTTTCTGGTAGACTCTAGATACAAATGTTTTCACTTCAGACATCTGCAAGCATAAAGAATATTGTGGGTTTTTTGTTTTGTTTTGTTTTGTTTTGTTTTGTTTTTTTACTCCTGTTGCAATGGATATTGTGGAGTAATGGAAGAGTAATTAAAGACTATTTGTCCTAGAATGTTTGGCTAGCTTTCACTGGGGTATTAAAATGGTAGGACCAAATCGATTATCCAGTAGATGGCACTCTTAGTCCTTAGACCCCAAAGTTCACAAACTAATAACTGTTCTTTGCATTGGTTACAGATCATAACAGAATCCATGCCACTGATGTCTTACATGCTGTTTGGTATCTTACTACGCAACCTATTCCTGGCCTCTCAACTGTGATTAATGATCACGGGTCAGCAAGTGACTCAGGTATATGCTAAGTACATACATCTGTGCTCCTTTGTGAACTATGGGAACAAGAGTGTTTTGTTTTGTTTTTTTAAAGTGGGTCTAGATAAACGTTATTAATTTAATACTTTTTAAAAAAATTCTGTTACTTTTACCTTCTCTTTTCAGATTCTGACAGTGGATTTACACATGGACATATGGGATACGTATTCTCGAAAATGTATAATGTGCCAGATGATAAATACGGATGTCTGTCTGGAAATATCCCTGCCTTAGAGTTAATGGCACTGTATGTGGCTGCAGCCATGCATGACTATGATCACCCAGGAAGGACTAATGCATTCCTGGTTGCAACGAGTGCTCCTCAGGTAAATCCTTCGATTCCACTTAGGAGAAATAATTCAATGAGAGATTTCTCTGAAGAAAATTAATTTTGTAAATTGGACTTCGGCACTCAGTGAATCTGCACCAAACTGTATTTAGCCCTGGGATAAAATTCTTAGAGACCACGCTAACTTTGAAAAGGTAGCAAGATTTATTCCAAGTTATTAATGGCAGATATGCGACTTTATTACCCATGGAGATCCCTTCTCAATGTTCTTCTAAGGAAGAAAAACTGCTCGAATTCGTGTTAATGAACTTCCTCAACAAAGAAAATGCAGCCTATACAAAATTCCCTGTCTGAAAGGATTAGAAAACCAAATCTTTCTTGGGCTTTTAAGAATATGTCTATTTGTATGTAAATCCCATTCTTTTAAAATATAGTCATTATAACAATTATGATTCTTATGGCGTTTATATTGGTTAGTAGGAATTAAAAATCAATTTATTTCATTTGCAGGAACATTTTTCCTGAACGCAGTATTCTAAAAACAGTAACTTTAAAGAAGTACATCTTAGCATATATTTAAAAATTTAAGTCAAAAATTAATTGCTAAGGATCTAGGTATCTTCATCTATACACTTAAACTCAGTAAGATACTTTCAATTTAATCAGCTGGACTCATGTTATTAAAGATCTCAAGATCCTAATTTTCTTTCTAGAGGATTTAGAGACCAATCTGGTCCTATGCTTTTTTTTTTCTTGTTTGTTTTTTGTCTTTTATCTCATTCTCATTCATTTCTACATGTTCTATGAGTCTAGAATTTTTCTCTAATCTATATACACTAAAAATATTCTGATTTTTTTCTAACTACCTAATTTAACTTCTTTTAATGTGTCCTTCATATACCAGAATTATTTTTTCTGAAGATAATCATGCAAATCCTCTTGCCAGCTGCATATACTATTCCAATTTTTCTATACAGTCTGCATTTTTACTTACTTCAATATTAATTTTCTTGTTCTTAGTCTTTCCTTTGTGTCCTTATGCCTTTTTTTCTTCTATCACCCCAGTCTTCAAGCATTTTTTAGGCAAATTCCTCTTCTGCTGCTTCCCTCAGCATTATTAGAGAATGTCAAACAGGTAGATAATTACTATATACCTTCATTTACTAGATAAAAGGTAATATTATTTCCTATGGCTGATTGCGGGGTGAGAATGTATTAAATGATGGGTTTCTCAGGGATTCCATTTCTCTTTATTAGTGTATTTAAGAGGAGATCATTCTTTTTCTAGATTCAAGAAGTAGCTGAGTTACCTCTTAAGGATGTTAATATATTTGCATATTTTTTATGGTTAAATTCCTATGCCCCACAAAAAAAATTGATAAAATCTAACTGTAAGCCCCTCGGTTGTAAATGTTTGAAATAAAGTTTCAAGGATATGAACTTTATATTACAAAAAAATGAAATTTAACTAAGAAAAATAATCAACAGTAAATGCGCAGCAATAAGTGATTCTTAATAACCACAGTCAAAAGATTATATTTCTGTGTTCCATGAAAAAAGATAGTTCCAAAAGCATTGCATATTCTCCTTTGTTTTGTGATTTATTTTAACTTAAAAAATTGAACTCTTCACTCTTACTTTTTTGTGTAGGCGGTGCTTTATAATGATCGCTCGGTTTTGGAAAATCATCATGCAGCTGCTGCATGGAATCTTTTCATGTCCCGGCCAGAGTATAACTTCTTAGTTAACCTTGACCATGTGGAATTTAAGCATTTCCGTTTCCTTGTCATCGAAGCAATTTTGGCCACTGACTTGAAGAAACACTTTGACTTTGTAGCCAAATTTAATGCCAAGGTAACTAGATTTGTACCAGTCTTCGTTTTATGGCCACGTTGAAAGATGTCATGGAACTAAAGTATTGAACAAAATTCATAGCTATCACCTCTTATATGTCAAATGTGAAAATGAAATGTAATAAAATGTTTAACCAGAAGCAGATAAATAGATTTTGGTACTAATCTAAGAATTTGAGAAGTTGCAGTGTTACCTCTATAATATTATATTTTGTGATGTAGAGAAATAATAAAATTCTAACTATCATTGTGTTTTTGTTAGATTTAATTTACTCTCATCTCTGTGGTATACTAACAAAAATTACCTGGCAATAGAAAAGTCAAAACCTTGAAGCAAAATTTCATACATCAAACATATATGCTCAAATGTTAATTCAAGAAAATTTTATCATTTGTAGCTATGTTATTTTAATAGAAATTGATAACATATGCTAATTTTAAATAGTACTTATTTTCAATTCCATAATTAATAAACTACTTTTTTGATGAACTATTTTACTGTTAATTTATGCAAGCCAGCAACATTATTTTAAGTAACTGAGAAATTCCTCATTACTTGGTATTCTGATCTTCACATGGTAGAAAGACAATAAATATTCTATCATTTATTCTCCTTTTCAACTTTTGATTTCATTGAGGCAAAACACATTTTAACTTTTTCCCTCAAACAGGCGAATGATGATGTTGGAATAGATTGGACCAATGAAAATGATCGTCTACTGGTTTGTCAAATGTGTATAAAGTTGGCTGATATCAATGGGCCAGCTAAATGTAAAGAGCTCCATCTTCAGTGGACAGAGGGTATTGTCAATGAATTTTATGAACAGGTAAGTGATTTAACTGTTTATCTTCATCCATACTTAGGCTGCTTGTAAATTCACCAAAGCTTCTAAGAGATGTGAAAGTGTGATCAATCTATTTCATATTCACCCTAACATCAGAAAATGCCCTGGCCAATTTTAATCAGAGGAGAAAAAAATGACAGAAAATTTGGCTAAATTATAATTATAAAAATTCTCAGATAAGTAGTAGAGACATTAGGAATGTCTGAAATATTGTTCTTTTACAAATTTACATAAGGGAAGCCAATTTAAATATATATATCTGAATAACAGCAGTGCATAAAAAAGCTTTGAAAAATAGGCATTTTATCTGACATGATAATGCAAGGGTTAGCACACTACCAAAAAACTACCACCAAAATGTAAGCATGGGGGTATCTTCTCCATACTACCCTACACTGACCAGATTATACTTGAAACTGTGTTTAATATTGCGAACCATGCTCTCAAGAGGAATCTGGAGGTAGTGGAGCATGGGTAAAGGAGAGATCAGTGACATAACAGAACATGAAAGAAGTGAAGACATTTACCCCAGGGGGAATTAGAGGTGATACAATAACAATCTTTAGATACTTAAAGGTGACATACAAATTTAAGAGTAGGTTTATCATGAAATTTTTGTAATGATTAAAGAAGATAAATTATATAAAGTGCTTGACACAGGATTTGATTTATAAGAAATATTAAGTTTCTCTCTGCTTCCCTAAAAAAGGTATGAATATAACCATTTTATAGAAGTTATGGGAACATAGATTTCAACTCAATGTCAGAAAGAAATTTGTATTACTACAGGCATTCAGAAATAGGATGGGGTGTCTTAATAAGTAATAAATTGCCTGTCAATGGATGTATTTAAAAAGAGATTAGAAAGAACTTTTATGGGTATTATATTCAAGTTTCATAGAATAAAAGGTTTGTGCTTCTAGAAAACAATGTGCTACCTTTCCTAGGAATGAGATTAACTCATGTCAATTCTGAAATATTGAAATACAGGAAAAATATAAAGAAAAAGGAAAATTTACTTATAATAATTCCACTATATAGGTATAACCATTGTTGATATATTGGTATATTTCTTCATTAATTTTGGTAAATAACTTCTGGTTAACAATCTGATTTTTTTCAGAAAGATTTGAAACAATTCAAAATGAAAACACTTGTAAAATGATCCTATTAAACTTATAGATAAATAAAAATACAGAAACTGTACAATCACAGAAGATGTAATTCAACCAAAAACTAGGATGAGGTAGCAACTTTAATTGAATGATACAGTATTTTAAGATTTATGGTAACCACAGCCAAAAAGGAAAACATGATAGATTATGTATTTGCTTGGTAATTATTCCCAGCATTTGTTCTATGATGCATTTATACTCTTCTATAAGGTACACTGACTAATGTGATAAGAAATATTATCTACCGAGATAAGAAATATTATCTACTGAGGCATTAAACCATTTCTTGTATTTCCCCTTGATAAAGCCAAAACCTCAAGATCGCAAAAGTGGTAAATAGCAATCAAGCATTTCTATAGGAATCTTAGTAATTTGAATAGAATCTCTTAGCGGTAAAGAGGGAATTCACACATGAATATCTGGGTTCTTGCATATTTGCAAATTTTAGATGTCAAGTGAATGTTTACTTTACTAAACTTTCCTTGTTATTTACCTTTCTAACTTTCTGTTTCTAGGGTGATGAAGAGGCCAGCCTTGGATTACCAATAAGCCCCTTCATGGACCGTTCTGCTCCTCAGTTGGCCAATCTTCAGGAATCCTTTATCTCTCATATTGTGGGTCCTCTTTGCAACTCCTATGATTCAGCAGGTCTAATGCCAGGGAAATGGGTGGAAGACAGTGATGAGTCAGGAGATACTGATGATCCAGAAGAAGAAGAGGAAGAAGAAGCACCCAATGAAGAGGAAACCTGTGAAAATAATGGATCTCCAAGTAAGTTATAATCTAGTTCTAGATTCAGATGAATTTTATGCTTCTTGTGAATTACATACTTTGAGTCCAAATACCATCTGCTACGTTTGATTATGGATAGACCCCTTACACAATATCATAATAAGAGAGATTACAGACTATGAGATCTATAATAATGGTCATACAAAAAGATGTTCTTTGTCATGAAGTAAAAACAAAAAAATTAAATAGTTGAAGCTTAGTCTTCAGAGTATTTTGATTTAGAGATGTAAAGAATTTGTACCATATAGACCAACTATAGGCTTTTGTCAGCTTGTTTAGGGGAAGACCATCTAAAGCAGTAAGAGGGAGTAATCAGTCATTTATTCAAGAACTATTTAATGAACATGTACTCTGTGCCAGGCATTCTTCCAGATACTAAAGACAGGGCTATGACCAAATCAGACAAAAGAGTAAATAAATCCTTGCCCTTTCAGACTTATGTTTCAATGGCATCAACAGACACTAAGTAACACAAATCAGTAAATCTAGTCTGTTAAGTACTGATAAGTACTAGAATCTAAAAAAAAAAAGGATTTTGGAAATTAAAATTAAAGGAATAAAGTAGCCACAGAAGGTCTAAATAAGAGAGTTTTTTTTTTTTTTTTTTTTTTTTTAAGTTTTAAAAGATCTGAAAGATATGGAAAGAGCATTCCAAGGAGAGGGAGAAGCAAGCCATGTGAAGGTCCTGAGGTAGGCTTGGCTGGTGTTCAAGGAGCATCAGGAGAGCTGAGGAGGTTGAAGCAGAGGAAAGGGCGTGGGAGAGTGGTAGGAGAGAGTGGGGGGCCAGATGATGTAGGGTTTTAAGATAAGGCTCTGTAGGTCACAGTATGGAGTTTCGCTTTTACTCTGAGTGGGATGAGAAGCCATCAGAAGTTTTGAATAGAAGAGTTTGAGATTCGACTTAAATTTTAACTGGATTGCTTCACTTGCTATATTGAGAATATTTTTGAGTTTGGGGTAGGAGAAAGAGTATAAGCAAGGGGATAAATTAAGAGGCTGTTGAAATTATCCAAATGAGAGATGACTGTGGCTTTGTACAGAGGTTGCGGCAATAGTGACAATGAGAAGTGGTCACGTCTGGTTATTGATTTGGAGTGCATAATGTAGCCAGTCTAATTCACTTAATTTTAATAAGGAGGCCTTAATAGCATTATTATTAAAACCTATAACCCTTACAGTGACATTGTGCAAATACAGTTTCTATGTTTCTGAGAACATAGTTCATAGTTTCTACCTACCTTCATCAAGAACATACAAACTTAATATTTTTCAAAGCCCTTACTAAAAATATTCCCAAGGAAGACATTTTGATCATTTGTTTTTATTTTTTAGCAGTCAATAAAATGCATGACTTGGTTCAACTTGGCCGTCTAATAAGGGAGTATTCTAACATGGGCCTTCACCCATTTTTCTCTGATATAAGAACCTGGTTGTACGCTCACATAAGCAGAGATAAGAGGTCATGATTAACTATAGACTGATGAGACAGGGTTTTGCAAATTTGACTTTAGGTCAAATTTTTGCTTAAGTTCTATCCTATGTATTAACTTTTATTCAGAATGGAGAGGGGGTCAAAGTTGTTTTCCTCTGATATTCTATTAGCAAAGGAAGTATTTCTCTGATGCTTGTAAAAAGATTTCTACTAGAAATTTTGGGCTAATCTTGGGATGCAGAGGTAGGTACCAGGATTTGGGGATTTATGGGTTATTTTTTCATTTGTTCATCCAGTAAGCCTGTATTAGTTTTATTTTTTAAATTTATTTTCATCCATAGAGTCAGGTAATTTGCTGTCTAATTAAGGGCAGGACAGTTTTCCTAGTGATTGATATAGAAGCATTGGCTTTGCCTCTGGAAAAACTTTGTTCCCATGGGCCCTAACTGATTGCTATTTGAACTCAAACACATTGCAAAACCACACACATAATCCAGGCATCAAGCACTGAAGAACCCAGTCCAGAAGATTTAATAAGCTCAAATCATCGATGTCGACTTTAACTCCAAACGTGACAACCAAATATTCAATTCCTTCTGTTCTGTAAGGTCGGGTTGCCATACTGACTTCCAGATTCTGATGTGTCACTCTCCTGATCTTCCCATTTTTATCAAGCTCGCTAAAGCAATAATGAGAACTTTATGGATTCTGTTTACTAAATTAGACTTCCGAAGATCAACTGGCCACCTTATATTAAAATTTAACATATCCATCAACGAAGACTTGATATCTTTTAGCTTTTGAAAAATTATCTTTGAAGTATTTCTTTGTGGCCAAGAAAATGATAAATGTTGGAAAATATTAGTTTTCAGTAAAAATTGGCCACTTAGAGTAATAGAATTTTAAAAATGGGAAAGGAATTGGTGATCATCCAGTTCACTACCTCCCTTTACAAAAGACTAAATTGAGGCTCAGAAGCTTAAGTAACATCCCAAGGTATAGATGGTTTCTGAAGAACCAGAAAGGAAACCCAGGTCTCCTCATTTTTAACTACATTGCTATTTCACTTTTGTCATTTTAATTTCAGAATTCCCATTGACTGCGATGGTTAACTTGATTTAGCCTGAAACTTAGATTTCTGGAAAATTTAAATTAATATGCACTGATAATCTCAGCAATTTGCAAAACTTGGAGATCTCCCAGGAAACATAGAATAAAATGTTTCAATATGGTAT